CGCACGCACGCACGCACGCACGCACGCACGCACGCACGCACGCACGCACGCACGCACGCACACACACACACATTGGACAGAGGTTTCTTCAATGGGTCACAGGATCCTGTATCAAAGGCATTGTTTCATTCAACAAGTAATGTGTGTGTGTGTGTGTGTGGTGGTGGTGGTGGTGGCGGGGGGGGGGGGGGGGGGGGTTGCAGGAAGAAGGAACCGTAAGCTTCCTCTACCTGAGATTCATCGCAGGAGGCTGAGGAGTATTTATAGACTGGAGGAGAGGTTGGTTGGATAGCACACAGGTCACATGTTGATGCTCTACGTCAGACAGGTTATCAGAATATGAAGGAGCTCCTCCGACACGTGACGAGTGTGCTGGTAGAACGTTTGTGAAGCTTGTGACATACTGAGTTTCGAATGCCATAGCACTCTCAGCTCCTTCCTACTGGCTGCATCTATTTGTGTTCTGCGACAACTCCAGCATCACCAGAGTTCCCTCCCAGATCTCAGAGAGCTCATGCATCATGCAGGGAGGTCCACGTCTGGATTTCATCCATCACAGCGAGTGCCCACCCAGTCTCGGCCTGGGCACACATCAAAGTACAACAATAGAGGAGCGCCCCTGATCTCTAAATCATCATCAAGAGTTCTGCTTATTTTGGGTTGTTTTGTCTTTATTCCAACCCGGATGTGTTGGGAAGATGCTTCAGGAGCTCTTAGCAGCTAAAACCAGCATCTTGGCTGCAAGGCTAAAAAACTGCAATCTGTACTTTTTAAACACAAAACACTGCTTCATTATTTTACTTTTCCCAAAATAAATCAAGAATAAAACTTCCATTCTAGCCAGAATAATGAAAAACAAAGCTTTGGTGAACATGTCTGAGTTTAATCTGCGTTGAGCCTTTCTGTTGCCCACCATCACAGGAGAAGAAAATTCCTCCTCCTTCATGCACAATTCAACGTCCCGACTGCCAGTTAAAAAACAAACATGAATTTTTAAAGACCTCCGAAGGGTTTGACGCGAGCGCCTCAGAAAAGTCAGCTTTCCATAAAAAGAAAAGGATCAACGTTTCAGTCTTCGAGGACAAAAAACAAGAGGAAGGAGAAGATTTGCTTCATTAAAAGAGAAGGATCCACCCAAAAGGGTCAAAGGTCAAACTACATGAAGGTTTAGGCATGTCTAGCGGAGATGGTTCACCTTGAGCCACATCGTTAGAGAACAAAACAAGTTGCAGCTCCCGGTCGGGCCGGAGGAGAGGGAGCAGGAAGTGTCGCGCCGTCCTTCAGCACGTTTCCACATTTAGACTCAAACACAAAAACATTCTGAAGATTAAAAACTATAATTTAGATCAACTTTAGATCCTTGTTTCTGTTTGTTTTAGATCAGTTATCCATAAATATTTGATATGAATCAGAAACGGGTTTTGTCCAATAGGCTGTTTATGATGGTTTGTTTACAAATTGTTGCCATCCTCATAAAGTTTTACATTCTGAATGACTGATTTGAGATAAAAAAAAACAGTTTTTTATAGCAGAAGTTTTCTGTTTATATAGAACTTAAAGAGCAAGTCACCCCCTACCAGAGTACTACTCCACTTCCTGTTTGAAAAATGCAACAAATGCTGTTGCCTAGCAGACCGAGAGGGCGGAGCCGCTAACAAACACACACACACACAGGCTCACAATGACACTGTGACATCATATGGTACCAGCTAACATTCTAGGGTACCTCTTAGCCAATAGCAATGGCAGATTTAAATTCAAATGCAGTGCAGAGTTTTTACCTGACAACGGCACAACACTCACAGTTTTAGGCAGATAATTAAAACTTTAACAAAAATGTACTAAAGTACAAAACTATTAACTACACGTGTCTGCAGCACGATTAGACACACATTTATATATAGTTTATCAGAAGACAAAAGTTGATTTGGGGGGGGGACTTGTTCTTTAAACATATAGAGTTCAAAATTTACTATAGGTACTGATTTACATCAGCAGGTGGCAGCATTGAATTGTTTAGTGGTGAATAAAACTTAAGATAAATTTTTTTTGTTTATTTTCCTTCGCTTATCTGGGTCCGGGTTACGGGGGAAGAATCTCAGTTAGGGCATCCCAGACAGAAGTTAAAGGGCTGTTTGGGAAGGATAGAATTATGAGACCAAATTTTAACTGAATCTGAAACAAAATAAATATTATTGAGCCACGACTAACTAACTAAAGTTTATCTAACCCATCAGCAGCGTGTTTTGCCCTTGTTCTGCCATCTAGACCTGTGCAGCCTCCAGAAGGGGAGGAAGTGAGAATCATTTAGAAATCATCACAAGATAAAAGCTTGCATTTCAGCTCCACTTTTCTAAGTCCAACAGGGACCAGCCTGGATACTCTGAAGTTGCAAGTGTGGTATTCTGGCCACAGGGGTGGTGGGGTCTGAGTGAAATTTCATTAACCCTGTAAAGGGTCGTTTTAGCACACACTGGATCAAGAAAATGCTTATAAATAAGAAAAAGTTGCACAGAATGGCTTTAAAAATGCTAATAATTCAGAAAAAATAAATTTTTTATCCCAAAAGAGTATAAAATTGTTTGTTTTTGTTTTCAGCCATTTAATTTCTTATTTTATAAGAATGGTTATTTATGTCAGATTAAGTTTCCGTTTGGTGGATGTCGTAGGATCAGAGAAGCATCGAAGGCTGAGATGAAATGGACAGATTTGGGGGGATTCAGCTTGGTGCAAAAATCCTCTTTTCTTTCTGAACTGGATCTTCTCTGGAGCTTTTCTGTAGATTTCAATTAAACAGGAAGGGAAATAGGAAGAGATGAGGTCTGGATCAGGAGTTTGTACTGGGTGTGCGGTTAAGTGGATGCACCAGCAGAGAAACGGGGGAAGAATCCTTAAATCAAACCGTTTTCCTATGAAACCGGAACTGCGCTGCTCTGGGCGGCTGCATGTTGGAGTAGCTCTGTTGAATATATGTAAGTTTTGCCTTTTCTTTGACATTTTTTATTCTAGTTTCTCAAGAAAAACTATTTTTTGTACATTTTACTTTTCTGTTTCAGGTGCTGTGAAACTTGGAGGACTTTTACTACTATGTTTTAACTTTTTTCACTTTTTGAGCATTTGTTATGATGCGTAACCATGGCAACAAGCTGGTTTATAATCGGGAGCAGCTGATTAACATTGGAAAAGCTGAAATAATACCTCAACTGAAGCCACAAATCCTAAATGAGCTAAAACGCAAGAAGCGTGGATGCAGAGCGGGAGCAAAACAGAGACAGAGAAAGAGGAAATTCAAACCATCTCTTCCATCGATCTTAATGGGCAATGTGAGATCACTGGACAACAAGATGGAGGAACTCCAAGCCCTTTCAAGGACTCAGCCAGAGTTTTGGCAGTGCAGTGTTATGTGTTTCACTGAGACGTGGCTGCAGGACCATATCCCCCGATTCCAGCGTCTCTCTGCCAGGATTCCTGACTGTACGAACAGACAGAGATCTGAAGAGTAGTGGGAAAAGAAAAGGAGGAGGGGTGGCAGTGCTTGCCAACAACAGATGGTAGAAGAAGAAGAAGAAAATATCATTTCTATAGCGCCTCTCAAGATAAAAATCACAAGGCGCTTCACAAAAAAAAAGTAAAAATATAAAAAAGCATTTAGAAAATGTTTTAAAATATATTTAAAATGAGCAAAAATAGGCAATTGGGATTTAAAAGAAAAAATGTTAAGAAAGAGAGAGAGTGAACAGGAAAGAGGGAAATCAGTGGATCCTGAGGAAGGTGGAATAGGTGGGAGAGCAGAATAAAGAGAGAGGGGTTGAAGAAGGTCATACAAAAACCACTGAGTCCACTGATCTCAGGCGCAGGGGGAGAGAGTTCCAGAGTCTGGGGCCACAGCAGCAGATGATCTGTCACCTTTGGTCTTTAGCCTGGTGCTGCACAACCAGTAGGCTTTGGTCACTGGACCTCAGGGACCTGCTGGGGGTGTAGGGACTAAGAAGATCACCAATGTAAGATGGTGCTTGTCCATGTAAGGCCCTATAGACCAGAACCAGGATCTTGAAATGAACCCTGAAGTTGACTGGCAGCCAGTGAAGCTGGAGGAGAAGCGGGGTGATGTGGGTGTGTTTGGAGGACTTGGTCAGAAGCCGAGCACAGGCATTCTGAACCACCTGTAGACGGTTCAGGGAGGTTCTGCTCAGACACGTGAAAAGAGAGTTACAGTGGTCTAAGCGTGAGGAGATGAAGGTGTGGAGAACTGTCTCAAGTTCAGAGCGGGACAGAATGGGACTCAGCTTAGCAACGTTCCTGAGATGGAAGAAGGAAGAGCGAACAAGAGAACTGACATGAGAATCCAGGGTGAGAGCTGGGTCAAAGGTCATGCCAAGATTCCTGAAGGAAGGTTTGGTGTGGGAAGCAAGCTGACCAAGAGAGTCTCTGACTCTGGGAACCTGCTTGTCTGGGGCACAGATGAGGATCTCAGTCTTACCTTCATTCAGCTGAAGAAAGCTCCCATCCAGGTCATGTTTCAGTGAAATGTCGTCTCTGCAGCCCAGATGTTGAACTCTTGGCAGTAAGTAGTCGCCCATATTATTTGCCAAGAGAGTTCATCAGTGTTGTCTTGGCAACCGTTTATATTCCACCTTCAGCCATTGCTGAAAATGCATGTGATGCCATCAGTTCTGTTGTCGCTAAGCTACAAACCCAGCATCCCAATGCATCTGTGGCTATATCTGGGGTTTTTAATCATGCCTCGCTCTCTGCTACACTTTCAACATTTCAACAGTTTGTCAGCTGCTCCACCAGAGAAAACAAGACATTGGATTTGCGTTATGCAAATGTAAAGAATGCATACATGTCCAAAACAAGACCTCCTCTGGGACATTCAGATCACAGTCTTGTTTTTCTCTGCTCAGAATACAAACCACTTGTTCAGAGGCAACCTGTGACAAGAAGAACTGTGAGAAAATGGTCACAGGACGCTGAAGAAGCCCTGCAGAGTTGTTTTGAGACCACAGATTGGATGACTCTCTGCCAAGGATATGAAGAGGACATCAATGCCATGACTGGGTGTGCCACTGACTAAACTTCTGTGTGGACAACATCATACCCACCAGAACAGTGAGATGCTTCGCTAGTAAACCCTGGATCACCAGTGAACTGAAGAATCTGCTAAATGAGAAAAAAAGAGCCTTCAAGGAGGGAGACAGGGAATTACTGAGGAGTATACAGAAGCAACTGAAGATCAAGATCAGAGACAGCAAAGAGGCATACAAGAAGAAGCTGGAGAACAAACTACAGAGGAACAATATCAGAGATGTCTGGTCAGGTAAGAAGAAGATCACAGGCTTCAAGCAGAGGAAGGATTGCACAGATGGCAGCCTGGACACAGCCAATGAACTGAACAAGTTCTGCAATAGGTTCAGTTCAGGAACAAACCCAGCATTCTCCTCGCCTGTCCCCAGCCAATCAGACATCCCATCCTCCTCTGATCCAACATTTTCCTGTCACACGCCAGCTCTTTTGTCCTCTAACGCAGTCATGGACTCTTCTGGTTCTATAAATCTGTCTTCAACCAAGTCAGGAGATGCTGCTGCCCCATTTACCTCCCCCTCCCACCTATCTTTCTCTAGAAGTCAGGTGAAGAGGCAGCTGGAGAGACTGAACAGGAACAAGGCTGCAGGTCCAGATGGTGTCAGCCCCAGAGTACTGAAGGCCTGTGCAGAGCAGCTCTGTGGGATTCTGCAGCACCTCTTCAACCTCAGCCTGGCCCAGGAGAAGGTTCCAGTCCTGTGGAAGACATCCTGCCTTGTTCCAGTTCCAAAGAAAACTCGCCCATCAGTCAATGACGACTACTGACTGGTTGCCCTGACATCCCACATCATGAAGGTCCTGGAGAGACTCCTGTTGGTCCACCTGAATAAGCAAACTAGAACATATCAGGACCTGCTGCGGTTTGCTTATTGCCATGGAGTTGGAGTTGAAGATGCCATCATCCAGCTGCTTCAACCAACCCACTGTCATCTGGACAAAGCAGGCAGCACTGTGAGGGTCATGTTCTTTGATTTCTCCAGCGCATTTAACACAATCCAGCCTGATGTACTTTGCCAGAAACTCCAGAAGACACAGGTGGGGGCCTCAACTATCGCCTGGATTAAAGACTACCTGACAAACAGACCACAGATTGTGAGGCTGAAGATCTGCACATCAAACCAGGTGATCAGTAACATTGGAGCACCACAGGGGGCTGTACTCTCACCATTCCTTTTCACCCTGTACACCTCAGACTTCCAGTACAAATCAGAGACCTGTCATCTACAGAAATACTCAGATGACTCTGCAGTTGTCGGGTGTATCAGAGATGGACAGGAAGCTGAGTACAGAGAGCTGGTGGAGCGCTTTGTAGCATGGTGTGGAAACAATCATCTGACCTTGAAAGTGAACAAAACAAAGGAGATGATTTTAGACTTCAGAAGAAACAGGGTGGAGTCAAACACTGTTTCCATCATGGGAGAAGAAATGGAGGTGGTTGAGGAACACAAATACCTTGGAGTTCACCTGGACAACAGACTGGACTGGAGAAAGAACAGCGAAGCCGTTTACAAGAAGGGACACAGCAGACTGCACTTCATGAGGACGCTTAGGTCCTTCAGTGTCTGTAGCAAGATGCTGCAGATCTTCTACAAGTCTGTTGTTGAGAGTGTAATCTCTTCAGCCATCGTCTGTTGGGGTAGCAGCATCAGAAGCAGGGACCTGAAAAGGCTCAACAGCCTAATAAAAAAGGCTAGTTCTGTTCTGGGGACGACTGTGGAACCGCTGGAGGAGATAATGCAAAGAAGGATTCTCCAGAGAATCAAGAAAATGATGGACAACCCTGAGCATTCTCTTCACAAGACTGTCCGACAACGGAAGAGTGTCTTCAGTCAGAGGCTTCTTCAGTTTGGCTGCAACACTGACCGCTACTGGAGATCCTTCCTGCCAACAGCCATTGTAATATACAACAACTCTTTAATGACTTGATTATTATTATTATTCTGAGCTACTACAGCAATCAATTTCCCTCTGGGATTAATAAAGTATTTTTGAATTGAATTGAACTGAAATGACTACGATGCAAACGGGAAAACGTTTCTACAACAAACCGCATCCAAGCGAAAAAGAAAAAAAAGTTTGCATGATTAAATGTTTGTTTTATATTCTGTTGCCGCACTCGGAGGATGAAACGTGACTGGAGGACGAGCGTGTTGGTGCGAGTCTCACCTGGAGGCATCAAAGCTGTCGTAGGAGCCCACGGTGTAATGTCTGAAGAGCTTCCGTCTGTCAGCTCGATCCGCTCGGGAATCTGCCAAAAAGATCACACCAGAATCAGGTCAATACACACATCCGTGTGTCGCCACCTGCTAGCTGCTGTTTGCATAAAAACTCTTTAAATCAGGTTTCACACCAGAAACAAACATTTACGCCTCATAACGGAGATTCTGAATCATGTTTGAGACAAAGCTGCTGGGAAGAGCCGTGAGGACCAGGAACTCCATGGAAAAGTTCAGCTCAGCTTCAATGGTTATGGAAATAAAAGCAGGAACATCAGGAAAACCCGTCCCACATCCTAGAATATTTCTCAAGAAAATTTATGATTTGACTAAAACTAGAACATTTTTGGAGTCTAACTTTTATAAAAAACCCCAAATCTGGTTTTTCTTTGGAGCTGGGAGAGAGCCTCTGCCTCCAGAGGGGCAGATCTGCATCCCGACGTTCCTGAGTGATGGTAGGATAGAGGAGAGTTGGACCAGCAGATCAGGACTTGGTCTTATCGGGTCTGTGGTGATGAACCTGAACATCTTAACCCAACTTATGGGACATTCTCATCTGTACCGGGTCAGCCCGGGCCGGGTAGCGTAGGTTGTTTACATATCTGGGTGGCCTGGTATTTTTCCGGGCCAACCAAGGCTCATTCTCAGCCCTCTTCTCGAGGGGGTCTGCTTCAGGCCGGCGAGGGCCAACACACCCACTGCTGACAGCAAATTCACACCTTCCATTAGAGCAAGCCTCTGATTGGTGGGTAGAATCAGCCCACATGGGCTTAAGGCAAGTATGTGTGGAATCAACCGGGCCAGGCTGGGGCCGACTGGGGCTACCCGGCCCGGGCCGACCCAGTACAGATGGGAATGGCCCAATAGTCAAAGCCAACAGAACCAGATCCAAGCAGCTGAAATGATCCTCCTCCTCCTCCGTGGGGTAGTCGGGCTCAGCATGAGAGATCAGGAGAGGAGCTCCTTCATCCAGGAGGAGAGCTACGCCTCCTCATTATCTGTTGAGGTGGTTCTGATCCAGATGCCTCCTGTACGGGTAGGAGACCCTGGGTCAGACCCAGATTTCTACGGAATCATTATAAATCTCTGTATGAATATTAAAATTAAAAAACAAATAACATGTTTGGTAAATGGCCTGTATCTGTTTAGCGCCTTCGGTTCTACAACAACCCCCCCCCCCCAAGGCGCTTCACAACACAATCAGTCATCCACACGCTCACACGCTGGTGCCCTGGGACACACTGACAAGGAGACAAGGCCTGCCATACATTGGCACCACTGGTCCCTCTGACCACCACCAGCAAACAAGATGGTTCAAGTGCCTTGCCCAGTGACACAACAGCAGCATTATGTGGTGAGAGCCAGGATCGAACCTACAACCTTCTGATTACTGGACAACCCGCTCTACCTCCTGAGCTACTACAGATTTAAATAATTTATGTCTGAGTTCAAACAGCTTACTGATGTGCTAGCCATCCAATCAGAGCAGAGCTCCACCTGCTAACAGCCAATCAGACGGAGTTTCTCTCTGACTGAATAATGTGACCTTGTTTCAGATCTTTTGATTTAAAAAACACAACCAGAAAAAGCGCTTCCGATTCGAATATGAAATGTTGTTTTTCTATAGTTTATTATAAAAATATTTATTTTTCTGTTTTATTTCCAGTCTGCCCGTTCTGGAACTCTACAACTCATCTGAACAGAACAGGGTCCAAACCGGAGCAGCTGAAGTCTGCCCGTTTTAAGTCCGTCTCACGTTGATCCGATCGTCTCTTTCTTCACATTTTCTCTCACACCAGCTGTCACACTTTCACAGAAACTCCTCTGATCCCGTTGGGATCTCGTCATCTTTGCAGGAATGTTTTTTTCTCCTCCCTGACTCCAGATCAGCTTGGAGGAAATGATGGAGATTAAAGGAAAACAGAGGATTAAGAGTCAGATTTGAGTTTGTTTGTTTACTGAAGAAGAAAAGAGAAACATTAGTGTTTGTGAGGAGGAATGAAGAGATAATAGTCCATCCTCAGCATCGGCACATTGTGTGTGTGTGTGTGTGTGTGTGTGTGTGTGTGTGTGTGTGTGTGTTTGTGCGTGTGCGTGTGTGTGTGTGTGTGTGTGTGTGTGTGTGAGCTCTAATGGATTCTTTTGAACATTCGGTCCACTTCAGTTCCCCCCCAGGCCTTCTCTCCTGTCTTCAGCCTTTCTTAAACTTCCAGAGATGTGAGAATGAGATGAGGGAATTGGAACAACAAGAATCCGTCAAACAGGAATTCTGATCCACACGATGTCCCGCTGCACACCTCTAAGCTAAATCAGATTATTCTGTTTGGTTATTTGATTCATTTTCCATTGGGATGCTTTTATTTGCTTTCTAGATTTTAAAACTCTACAACAATCTTCAGTAGATAATAGAAGGTTTTGGATGGGAATCACTCAGTTTCAGGAAGAGCAGACTTGGGAATGTTTGCTCTAAGACTAGTGAAACCAGGCTGAGACTAGATGGAATCACAGAAATGAAATCAAATATTTAACATTTCAGTTGGAGGATCCTAAGTAGTTCCCACACTGGAAAAGATCTGTAATCCTTCCAGAAAGTTCTGGGTCTGCACTGGGGTGTCCTTCCAGAACCTGGACAACCTCCAGAGACAAGAGACCAGGAGGCTTCCTGATTGAAACCACCTCAGCTTTGATAAGGAGCCGCTCTACTCCGAGTTCCTCCCGGATGGTGGAGCTCCTCGCCTCATCTCATAGGCTGAACCTGACACAGAAGCTTAGATTCAGGATCTGGTTCTTTTGGTCCTGATCCAGATTCCATGACCACGGACGTAATTTTTTTTTGGGGGGGGGACATGCCCCCCCCCCCCACTTTTTCCAAAGTCAAATTTTGAGCCCTGCAATTTTACCATCCAAAAACAATATTACGCTGTATTAAATTGACACTGGTTGAGCTCTAGGAACAAGCGGAAAACAACCGTTTGTGTTGAAGCCTGTTTCCCATTAGAGCATATTGTAAAGATACCCCCCCGCCGTGTCCCCCCCACTTCTAAAGTGAAAATTATGACCATGTCCATGACTATAGGTGAAAGTGTCCCAGTCTGGAAAAATAACATTCACTACAACAAACTAGACCAAAGGCTTCAGGAGTGCAGGAGTCTCGACTCGTCAGTCTGTCTCTCCTCCATCATCGCCGAGGAACGCCAGGATAGAAGAGACCTAAACCCAGATTTCTGGCCTCAGGTCTGGAGGAGGCGTTCCCGACTCTCTTATATTTATATATATGTACTCAATGAATGAAAAACATCGTTGGATAAAAAGATTCATGCTGGAGGAATAAAAGACTTTGTGTCATTTTTGTTGAATAAATGAAAACAGCATTAACTTTTAGGAAAAGTTCCAGCACAGTTCAGAGTTTCCTGCATCAGAAGCTGACTGAGAGTCGACTTCTGCTCCGTGTTTGATGCACAAACAGATTTTATCTGCCTCTCAGCAAACGTGTTTCTGTTTTCATTAGAATAAAAACGATATTGTGTTCGGAAAAAGGACAGATGGATGTTTGGAAACTGATTAAAGACTCAGACCAACATTAATCCTCCAGTAGTTTACACACACACACACACACACACACACACACACACACACACACACACACACACACACACACACACACACACACACACACACACACACACACACACACACACACACACACACACACACACACACACACACACACACACACACACACACACACACACACACACAGGTGACCCATGGCTGAGGCAGTCTCTCTGCAGACCGCCATGCTGCCCTCCGGTTTCCGGACAGGCCTCCTTTCCAGGCGGGCCTGGAGGGAATCTGGCCGCAGCCCGGCGAGTGGGAAGCTCCCGGCACCGATGGCTCTGGGCTAAGCCACACAGAAGAAGGCAAAAAGCCCGAGCGAGCGAACAGAAGAACGAGTGCCCCCCCCTCTGACTCCATCATGGCTGGCGCTCTCCTGAGGGCAGCGGCAGACTGAGAGAGCTGATGGATGATGGGAGCCGACTCCAGCATCACTCAGCTTTGTGCTAATGTCAATAATTAAACACTGCCAGCAAGCAGAATACCAGAGGATAAAACAGATTAGCAGAGCAGGACAGAGAGATGCAGGGCTTTCCAAAAACCCTCTCAGACTCTCAGAGCCAGAGTACGCACAAGGAAGTGTTAGTGAGGGACGGAGCGTGGCGTGATATGTTCATTAGCCTGCACCCAGAGGAAATAAGAGCACAGCTGAGTTAGCAGGGCAACGTAGCGCTTAGCGTTGTGCATCACAGCCTGGGGGACATGGAAAGAGACAGGAGGACAAAGAGACAGACATGCAGCTCACGCTCTGCAGGAACAGCAGCCACGTGCCAACACTCAGGAACACACAGCATCCATACGGACTCCAGCTAGAGCCAGAACGTGTCAGACCCATCCTCACCAACCAGGGTTAGGGTCAACCTGGGCGGTTAGGGTAATCGGGGGGGTGGGTGGGGGGGGGTGGGGGTGGGGGGGGGATCTGTCAGAACTACTCCGTGTTATAAGTTATATTTATTAAATATACATACAATCCAATTATTATATACAAAATACAAATAATTTAGTGTTTTATTTACATTACTGTCCCATGGCAGTTGTAACTATTCTTATGTTTGTTTGTTTTTTGTAAATAAAACACTTTTAGACCAAATGCTGATTAAAATATAACTTAAAAAAACTTTTATTTCTTTCTGTGCACGTCAAAACCGACCGATCTGGGACCGGTACCAGTGATTCAGAACCGACTGATCTGGGACCGGTCCCAGTGAATCAGAACCGACTGATCTGGGACGGGTACCAGTGAATCAGAACCGACTGATCTGGGACCGGTACCAGTGATTCAGAACCGACTGATCTGGGACGGGTACCAGTGGTTCCAAACAGACCGATCTGGGACCGGTCCCAGTGAATCAGAACCGACTGATCTGGGACCGGTACCAGTGAATCAGAACCGACTGATCTGGGACCAGTACCAGTGAATCAGAACCAACCGATCTGGGACGGGTACCAGTGGCTCCAAACAGACCGATCTGGGACCAGTCCCAGTGAATCAGAACCGACCGATCTGGGACCGGTACCAGTGAATCAGAACCAACCGATCTGGGACGGGTACCAGTGGCTCCAAACAGACCGATCTGGGACCAGTCCCAGTGAATCAGAACCGACCGATCTGGGACCGGTACCAGTGGTTCCAACTGACCGATGTGGGACCGGTCTCAGTGAATCAGAACCGACCGATCTGGGATGGGTACCAGTGATTCAGAACCGACCAATCTGGGACTGGCGCCAGTGAATCAGAACCGACCGATCTGGGACGGGTACCAGTGATTCAGAACCGACTGATCTGGGACCGGTACCAGTGAATCAGAACCTACCGATCTGGGACCGGTACCAGTGGTTCCAAACCGACCGATGTGTGACCGGTCCCAGTGAATCAGAACCGACCGATCTGGGACCGGTACCAGTGATTCAGAACCGACTGATCTGGGACCGGTACCAGTGATTCAGAACCGACCGATGTGGGACCGGTACCAGTGGTTCCAAACCGACCGATCTGGGACCGGTACCAGTGATTCAGAACCGACTGATCTGGGACCGGTACCAGGGATTCAGAACCGACCGATCTGGGACCGGTACCAGTGGTTCCAAACTGACCAATCTGGGACCGGTCCCAGTGAATCAGAACCGACTGATCTGGGACCGGTACCATTGAATCAGAACCAACCGATCTGGGACGGGTACCAGTGGTTCCAAACAGACCGATCTGGGACCGGTCCCAGTGAATCAGAACCGACCGATCTGGGACCGGTACCAGTGGTTCCAACTGACCGATGTGGGACCGGTCTCAGTGAATCAGAACCGACCGATCTGGGATGGGTACCAGTGATTCAGAACCGACTGATCTGGGACTGGCGCCAGTGATTCAGAACCGACCAATCTGGGACTGGCGCCAGTGAATCAGAACCGACCGATCTGGGACGGGTACCAGTGATTCAGAACCGACTGATCTGGGACCGGTACCAGTGAATCAGAACCTACCGATCTGGGACCGGTACCAGTGGTTCCAAACCGACCGATGTGTGACCGGTCCCAGTGAATCAGAACCGACCGATCTGGGACCGGTCCCAGTGGTTCCAAACCGACCGATGTGGGACCGGTCCCAGTGAATCAGAACCGACCGATCTGGGACCGGTACCAGTGATTCAGAACCGACTGATCTGGGACCGGTACCAGTGATTCAGAACCGACCGATGTGGGACCGGTCCCAGTGAATCAGAACCGACCGATCTGGGACCGGTACCAGTGGTTCCAAACCGACCGATGTGTGACCGGTCCCAGTGGTTCAGAACCGACCGATGTGGGACCGGTCCCAGTGAATCAGAACCGACCGATCTGGGACCGGTACCAGTGGTTCCAAACTGACCAATCTGGGACCGGTACCAGTGGTTCAGAACCGACCGATGTGAGACCGGTCCCAGTGAATCAGAACCGACCGATCTGGGACCGGTACCAGTGGTTCAGACCCGACCAATTCTTTTCTCGGCAGAACATCGGGGGATTTTATCCAATCACATCCAGAGATTGCCAGACACCCTCTGTGACTGGTCAAGACTTTCCTTCCTAGTTTTGAACCACATGCTAATTGGGTGGATTAACGTCACAAGTCAAAGCATCCAGTCAGAAAGCAGATGCTTGATGTGCTGAACAGCTGCGTTCAATCCATGCAGCTTTCAGAACCACCAACCGGACTTCCAACATCAGAATCATCCATCCCGACGGCCTGTCGTCCTCATTTCTTTACTTTAGTTTTTTTTTTTTTGTAATGTTTAGTATTAAACACCCAGAGTTTTTAAATACGCCTTTTCTTATGTTAACGAGGTCTTGCTAATCCCAAAGTAAACAAAAGACCAGATTAAACTCAGAACTGTAGAGAAATAAAACAGGAACCAGTTTTCTGAACAGCTGAAAATGGTTTCTGTTTTCACAAAATAAAATCACTTTTTAATCAGAACAGAAAAGTTTCCGGATGATTCGTTTCAACATTTAAGTACATTTGAAGCTTTAACTACTGGAGATGTTTGTTTAAATGTAACACATGGACCTAATCTGTCCATGGCTCCTCAGCTGCTCTCTGGGTCTCCATCCCATCAGAACCCATCAGAACCACTAACATCCCATCAGAATCAGAACCTTCAGTAAAACAGAGTTCTCCTGACAGCTGCAGGCGATGCTACTCACAGCTCCTCTCGTCGGTGGCCTTGGCCGGGATCTCCTCCACGCAGTCGGCTGGAAACCAGCCCACCTGTCCGCGGGCGCTGCCCTCCCAGAACCCCCCCTCTCCGATGCTCAGAACTGGATCAGAACCACGAGAAAAAACAAATACATCAGCACCATTTAAAGATTCTCTCACACATCCGATCCTATGAAAATTTAATTAACTTTTACAACAAAAGTTTGTTAAAAACATCACAGAGTTTCTGTCGAGGTTAATTCGATAACATAAAAGGTAAAGCAGGTCTACAGGTGATCCAGTTTAAATGATAACGAGCTAACAGAGACAGCAGCAGCAGATAGGCCTCCTGACTCACCTTTGACCCGGTCACCCTTGTACAGGTTAATCTCCCCCTCAGCCTGAGCTGTGTAGGAGCGGACCACCACGAAGATTCTCCCCGGTACGGCGCTGTAGAGCTTCCTCCTGGTGCCGACCGGCTCGCCGTGGCTGCTCGGGCTGACGGGGCGAGAAACAAGAACACACCTGGTCAGGTGGGTGGGGGAGGGGCTGGGCCTGCTTACACCTGGATCCACCAGAATTCTCCTGTTTTACAAATCAGACCTTGTGTTTCATTCAGACTAAAATAAACCAAAAGAATTTATAATAATATAAATAATATATAGAATATATTTCTATATATGTCAAAATTTAAAGAACTAAAGTCTGATCTAAACACCATTTATGTTTTTTAATTACTGGTGACAGAAGACCCAGTTGGTTCTGACCCACAGAGCCGCTTTAAATCTCAAACCGGAGACCAGAACCAGCTGGATCTGAGTGGTTCTGATCTGTGATGGAGAGCTGATCCACAGAGCTGGAGGAGGAAGAGGAAAGGTGAGAGTCTAGCGCCACTTAGTGGTCAGACTGTAGAACAGCACAAACAGCACCAGGTGATCAAGTGGGATTAAAATAATAAACATTAACGGGTTTAACTGGGATCTGAATGAACCAACTTCTGGTTTGGGTTCAGGTCCGACGGCATCTGAGATCAGAACCAAGTTTGTTCAACTGCGAGGAGGAAAGACGGAGCGAAGAGGAGGCAGGAGAAAGGGCTGAAAACTAGATTAAGAGAGGAGAATGGAGTGAAGGAAGGATGTGTGAAGGAGAGGTTTTTGTTCCAGTAAGTGGGTCACCTTGTCCTGCTGACTGAACTCCTCCTCAAATCGTTGTGCCTTTGGAGAGCTAACCCCATTCAGCACCTGCTGAGGCTGATCCAACATTTTCCGAGGGAAAGCTGCAGCTGTGGACTTGGAGCGGCTGGAAGTGATGTTTAAAAGGCCTGAAGGGAATTCCTGCAGTTTATCCAGAGTCCTGGTGTCTGCAGCTCCATGTTTACGTTTGACTAAATATCTGACTTTTAAATTTTCCCGGTTGGGCTGAGTTTCAGACTAGACTGAAGTACGGAAACTTCAGGAGAGCAGACACAAGGGAGAAAGTCTCTAAGATCAGGAAGCTTCACCAGAGGTCTCCGACCCTGGTCCTGGAGTCAAGCTCTGCAGAAGCTGCTGATTAAAATCAGCTGCAGTTGAAGCAGAGAAACCTCAACTTTTAAAGGGGTACGACTTTTTCATATTTTAAAATAATTTCTTTAGCCAGTTTGTGCTAAAATGACCCTTTACAGGGTTAATGAAATGTCAGTCAGACCCCGCCACTCTCTGTGGCCAGAGTACCGCACTTGCAACTACAGAGTTGGCAGGCCGCTCTCTGCTGGTGGCGGGAGCTGTGGAGTGGAGTGGAGCTGCAGTCTGCTTCCAGAACGCTTCCTGCTTGTTTTAGATCGTGAACACAGCTGATTTGTTTGATTTAGTGATGAACCTCTCCTTTAAGGTGTTAAAAAGACAAACTCATAGAAAGAAGATGTTTCATTTTTGGTTTAACCACAGAGAATTAATAACAGACACTAGGGGGTGCTAAAAGCAAGCAAAACTGCCTGGTATTCCTTTAAAGCGGAGGGGAAAAAAATCACCACGTTAATAGTCCTCGAGGGCCCCCAAAAAATAAAACGTTTGTTTTCCCAAATAAGTCCAAAATGGGCATATTAGTAAAAAGCTGAAGCTAAAAATGTTAGAAAGTGTCAAAACAAAATTCCTAATCCTTTAAATACAAATGGGGGCTGCATAAATCACCCGGAAGACCACGAATGGCTCCTGAGCCACACATTGGACCTGCGTGCTCTAGAACCTTCTGCTAGACGATGGCCCTGCAGTACAAACGTCTCACGAGGATTTTCAGACCTACATCAAGTAGAGGAGTTTTGGGTGATGACTGAAACAAGATCATGAACATAGAAACGGGTTTCCCCCTCAAGACTCAGCTTTAGTTTATACAGGGAGGAGCTGGGAGTAGAGCCGCTGCTCCTCTACACCAGGGGGAGCCAGCTGAGGAGGTCTGGTCGTGGGGGTGACCCAGGACCAAACCCATGTTTGCTAGTGAGAGAATTATAAACTTAAACAGGTTCCCATAAGTATTCTAAAAGCTAAATGATAACGTGTTTAAAGTTGATTAGCAGCTTTGTTCATTAAAGCAGCTTTTGATTCGCTGTTGAAGATGTCTTTTTTTCAGTTCATCTTGTGTGCCGAGTTCTTTCATGAACTCCCACCCAGCAACTCTTTAAAGCTCTAATAATACTTTTTGCTCCCCCCTGCGCGCCTCCTCCCACACACAACTGCATCTCTGTGGCTCTCCCTCGCTCCCTCTTGACATGACACAGACTCGTGTGAGCCCACAGTCCTCCTTTTCTCTCTCTCAGTGTCACTCCGTGACAGCTGTCAGTCAGCCTCCGGGCGTCATGGCAACAGCTCGAGGTGGTGAGAGATGAGGTGCGTCCTGTGTGTCGGGGCAAAGGACCACCGAGAGCTGGAGACCGTTTCAGCTAAAACACCGGCTGATGATGTTCAGAGCGGACCTCAGAGGAGGAGCCGCATTCCAAACCTAACTCAATCACAACACAGCAGATTTCCTCGGAGAGTCTGATGAGGTTATAAAATTCTGCTGATTGAATTTGATTTGATTCAGAGAGAAATAACACGCGTGTAAACATGAACACAGAAATGAGGCTCCACATGAAGTTGGAATTAAAAATGATATTTATAGAATAAATCAAAGAAAATCTGATTTGGTCTCATCTGATCCTTCTGGTAAAATGCGTTACGAGGAGTTGCAGTGCCTTGCTCGGAGGCACTCAGTCCAAAAGGAGTGTTCCTGGTTCTCCACTGGGAGGAGGTGGAATGTTTTCTCGTGGGTTCTGACATTCCTGAATGATGGAGGATGGAGGAGACATGATCAGGACTTCCTCTGATGGTCTGGGGCGGTGAAGAAGGTTCTGGATTTACCGGTCCATCTAAACCGTCACCTGGTCTGAGATCAGGACCAAATCACGAATCCAAGCAGATGAAATGATCTTCCATGGGCTAGCCAGGTTCAGCTGCAGAGATCAGAAGAGGAGCTCAGCAGCTCCTCCTCCCCTCTGAGAAACCCAAAACAGGAATTTAGATCCTGTCTGGTCTGGGATCACTGCAGGATCATCAACGAGGAGGAGAGGGGCTCTAAGGAGAGGGAGGTCTGGATTTAGCTCCTGGACCCTGGATGAATGAACTTCTCTAAATGTGCTGCCATGGACAAACGAAGAAGCTAAAGAACCAGCTCTGTGCCCACATTAGTCCAGACCTAGTGGACCACTATCCTGCTCCGACACACCTGCTTTAAACAAGTGAGTGAACATTAAGCTTCTGCAGGTGGTGATTAAATCGTCTGGAGCTGGATGGTCTCTCTGAAGGACCGCAGCTGGAAAGTCCTCAATCAGACACCATTTTCTGAAAGGAACCCGTCATCCGGTCCAACAGAGCAGCTCCTCGATTTGTCTCAAGAAAAGGAAAATCACCGGAACACCAGGAACGTCGTCACTGGGCTGACTTCTGGAAGTGGGCCGAGAGTTACTCACAAGGTTCTTAGTTCTCAGATCCTTTCTGTACATTTAAACAAGAAGATGCATTTTACCACCAGATCTCATGACTGGACGCCTTGATATTCGAAAAAGTGAGTCGTTAACAGACAGAAGAGTTAAATTTACACGTGTGTGTAGCTGTAGTCACAGCTCGGCTTCCTGTATCTCATTAAATCAGGATTCCTGCTGATGTGTGAGTCTCTGTTGGGCTTTAAGGCAGTTTATGTGCAAAGCATTACCACATTTATCCTTATTAACACACACACGCACACGCACACGCACACACACACAAACACACACACACACACACACACACACACACACACACACACACACACACACACACACACACACTCACACACTAAGTGTACGTTCTAACTTCATCTGCAGCCGTGAGCTTTAATGGCTGAAAGGAGATCATGGAGGAGATGAGAATTCTCCTTCGGCGCTCCGGGTGAGGAGCTTGGGCATTCAGGAGGGACCTGGAGCAGAGCCGCTGCTCTTCCACCATCAAAGGAGCCAGCCGAGGCATGAGGATGTCCTGGGAGGAAATACCTCCCCTCCTCCTTAACTTGACGGGGATCTGGGTTCACAGTTTGGGCTTTGGAGCTGTTAATCAGCTGCTCCTTCCTGTGATCCAGTCTCCTGCTGCTATAACAGGATAATGAGTGATCGATAAGTAGAAAAGTAACAGCGAAAATTCTCCAATAAACAGATGATCTAAACCAGAATAATAATAATAAAATCTCAAAAAAGCATCCCCTTCACTCCGAGAAACGGCTGCAACGTAACCGGCGTGCAGGAACCAGCTTCTGGAGCGGCGTGCCTCTACGGCTAATGGAGGCTCAGCTGATGATCCCATCTGGGACTCTCATCAACAACAATGAACTCCTCAGAAAACTGCCCCTACCCACCGTCTCCGTCATTTTCTCCTCCTCTCTCACTCCTCATTTCCTCCTCCTCCTCCTCCTCCTCTTCCTCATGCTGCCCTATATCTCATTTCTAATCTACAGATTTGTTTTCACACCTTTAATGTATAGAAAAGTATCTGTTCAGTGAAGTGAGCTTCAGCGTGTGGGCGGTGTCGGTTCTACTGAACCAACGCGTCCATCTGCCAACAGAATCCAAGGGGGGGGGGGGGGTGTCTTCATCAGGATCCACAGGTAGATCGCCTTCAGACTGCCGCCCATCTCACGTCACGCAGAGCGTCACAAACCTGCCGCTTTTCTCTCAATGAGTGTGAGCGTGAAACTTCCACACACTCACAAAGGATGTGCAGGCAGCCATGGCAACTGTTACCGTGGTTACGGCGGGAAGCTAGGCTGTTGTAGATGACACGTTTTCCTGAGGAAGAGGAGCATGTCATGTGCTTTACATTTGGGGGGTGGGTGGGGGGTACGAGGAGAGAAGAGCGTAACGTTCTCAGCTTCATTTTTCACTCCGGTAACAGAAATCCTTTCATCCCTCGTTATCGCAGAAATCCTGATTTTTATTTAAATCGTGAGAATCAAACTAAGAAAATGATGCTTTTCTGACGTTTTATGGAACCTGATAAAAATGAGTCAAACTGACATATTTCTAGCACCAAAGGTTTTTTTTATTCATTTTTACTCGGTAGTTAGACGGGGCAGAGGCAAGCCTTTCAAAATAAAAGCACTGCAAATGCTGGGCAGTTTCTATCAATTCACTCCAGGACACTTTATTTTGATAGTAAAACAGAAACTGTATTTGTGTAGTGAGTGTTGAGAGTCTCTAAATGTTTCTGTGATGCCCAAGAAGGTTTTTTTCATCCTGGAAATAGTTTGTTGTGTCATTTTAAACATTTCTATTTTCTTATTAAATTCTATTTCATTTCATCATTTCTTCTTTATCTATTTATCTATTAACCACGTGTGACCTGTTGTTTATTTGCTTTGTGTAGTTTTCAGTTATACAGTTATAGACTTGGCCATTTCCACTTAAAACTGGAATTTCGTTCATTCTTCATCTTGAAACAAGCAGGAAAAACAAATCCAAAGTTAAAAGAATATTTTAACACGTTTATAGGAGAGATGAACAGGTACTCACTTTGGCTGGCGCTGTGAGGGTAGAGCCCGCCTGTTGTCCTCCCCCAGCCGGCTGAGGGAGGGAGAGCGGCTCCTCGCCCCCCTCCCCATGGTTCGGACCACCACGTTGCCATTTGGGCTGCCGCTGGGCATCTGCTGGACCAGCTGGGGTGACAAGCTGCGGTGCAAAGCTGAGGAGCCAGGCTGCGGGTGACCCTGCTGGGGGGCCCGGTATTGGTGGGGCTGGGCGTGTTGGCGCTGCTGCTGATGGGGGGCCCAGTTTCCAGGAGAACCGTGCTGCTGCTGACTGACCGAGAGGTTGTTGTCGCTGTTGGAGCGCAGGAGGACCCGCGGCGCTGATAAGGAGGAGGGGGACTGGCCGTTTCCGCTGCCAGAGTGAGGACCCCGCCGGCGTTTGGAGTAGGCCGGAGCCTCACGGAAAGGCACTGGGGGAGGGGGGTACAGGCGTTAGAGTTTTATCATTAATATTAAAAATCAAAATGATTTCATCTGCATCAAACCAGCAACTGGAACAAATAAACACGTGTCAATTTCTGTGGTTTTATATCACAATCAACACAAGGTGAAACAAACTGTCTGGTTAAAAGAATGCCCCCCCCCCCCCCCCCCCCCCCACACACACACACACACACACACACTAAACCTGTGTGACAGCTATAAAATAAAACAGTTAATCATCAGAGCTTAACCTGGATAAGCCTGCAGCTGCTGCTCAGGTGTGCTGATTAACTCATCATCTCCTATCACCTCTGGAGCATACAGGCGCGTGTCGACGCACGAAGGGAAGACAACACCACTGACTCCAGGGAAGCCAACTACCAACCCGTTAAAGGTCAACGGCTGTTTATTCTACAAAGAGAATGCCTCAGGAGCAGGGATCCAGAGATGTTCCCCTTGAGGTCAAAGGTCACTCCCCACTCCCACACAAAACAACAAGTGCTCCAAGTTAGACTTCACATATCAGCAGGTTAAAGGTCAAAGGTCATGGCAGCACAGGTTGGTGCAGTGTCTTCTGCACACTGCTCAGCTAATCCAAGCTGTCAGCACAGAGGGCTGATGGTTTGGGTTGGTTCTGACCCAATAGGACTCACTGAGTCCACCAAGCCCCTCTGGAGACCAAAGAGTTCTGGAGTCCAGTGTGAATCCAATTATCTGAAGTTCAGACCAGAAACGGGTCATGAAACAGACCCACGGTCCAAACACAGCAGCAGGTCTACAATATAGCCAAGGTTCTACAGAGGTCCAGTCAGTCCAGACCAGAAGCTGGTGAGACCTTTAGAGTGCTAAGAATTTGTGGACCAGAACTCCTCCAGAACCACACGAGTGACCGATGAGGTCAAGCAGAGGTTCCTGCTGCTGGAGGAGGTTTAGTTGGACCATCAGGTGGATTAACATTCTAATTTTAGCATCTGCTAAATAAAATGTGTTGACATTATTTTAAGCTAAAGGAGATTCTAGAAGACGTTCATCTGCTCCCCACTGAGCTGTCTGAAGAGGAGATGCCTCTACAGAACTCAGAACTGGACTCAAACGTCTTCCAGCAGAAATATTTCTGGAGTTCTGCAAAATAAAACGGATCAGTTTCACTAAACGTGAGACGAGAAAAGCTACTTTAAAAAATGGCTGACAGATGTTTCACATCTCAGAACATCTGCAGGAGTTCAGTTTAAAAAAGTCATCTAAACCAATTTTAGGGTTTCAGAATATGATGTAAACTAGAAATAAACAGAGTTCAAATTACAAAGAGCTAAGGGGAGCCCAGCTCACCCGAAAGGGTGACGGGCTTCCCTGGAAACCCTCAACTCACACACGCAGGAGGAGCCCGAAAAAAGATCCTGGTTCTGCTTATACTGCATTACTAATGCGGGCTCTCCGGGGTTCTTCTGAGTGGAGAGAGGACGCAGAGTGCTGATCGTTGTTCCGTCCTGCTCACGACCACACCAACGTTCTCAAAGTGTCACCATGCAATACCGTGCAATCGTCAAATAAAAACAACAGAACAAAACAAAGAGTTTGAAAGGGAAAACTCAGGTAGATGCATCCCGACATGTTTTTAACTTCGTAAAGCAATAATCCACGCATGTAATATTCATAAATTTGATATCATTCAGACAACTTTCGAAGCTCAGTCCCACACCCAGGGCTGTTTCAAGGCTTTTCGGGGACCAGGGCAAGAATAAAGCCCCCTCCCCCGTCTCACTGGGCTCCTCTGTGTAATTCGTACCCTGGAAATAAACTAATTTTACAATTTCAGAGAATTCTGAAGTTCTGTTGAGTCGGGCTGAGTTCAGCAGCGGCTCATTATAATCCTCATTATTCCCACTAGTTCATTATAGGTGTTGTACACTACAGATGGTGATGTTTGATTTTAGTCATCATTTCAGTTCCTCTCACGTGGCCACAGTCAGGACCTTTACTGACCCAACTGAAGCCCGGTTCGTGGGAACATTTAACACGTCTCTTCAGGTCCCAGCTCCAGGAGCCTCCAGTGTTTCTGGACCAGGAGTTTTGGATTGGATCAAGAGTTTAAATCCATATTTTGTCTCTTAGAGCTGTGATCCAGCGGGTCAGGTGAAAAGCAGAACAGAACCTCGGCTGTCTACACACCTCTGCTCTTCATCTGAGCCTCGTTACCATGACGATGAGGATCAGATGAGGGTGACCCACCCTCGGCCCGTTGCGCCTCCTTCCACAGAACCAGTTTTAGACGCCGGCCTTGATTTCCCCTTGGAGATCCGTTCCTCTTTTAGATGGTGAGCCGACACCAGTCTCTCCTTGTGGTTCGGACAGAGCAGAACTGGGCCTGCAGCCATCCCAACGAGCACCTCCTGATGATCAGCTGATGAATACAGCGGGGTGCGGCAGCTCCGAGACCCGGCGGCTCGACTCCCGACAGCCGGGGCATCTAGAGGGGGGGTATGAGGCCCGGCTCCTGTTGCAGCAGGCGTGTTGATGAGGTGTTAACGTCTAATGAGCTCACACGTTTAGGAGCTAGCGTAGGGGTGTGCGGCCCTGGAGACGGTTTCTAAACACGCTCAGAAATCACAGCTGGAAAAGCTCACCCTGAATAATAAATAAATAAACAGCAGCTTGTTTATCCGTCCAGAGGAATGAAAACAAACATATGGAGCCAAGATTATGGAGACACTAAGGAAAAAATTACAGCTATCTTTAATCAGATTTAGCTTGAAATTAATGAAAAAAAAAAAAGACACGTACAATCAAATCGCTCAGCGCTTTGTTTGTCCGCTGTGGGCATGTGAAGGCGTTTTATAAATAAAGTTGATTTGATTTGATTTGGAATCTGAACATATTGAGGTAAATTGAAATATGGAGTCTGTTGTTCACGCATTTGTAACCACACGTTTAGACCATGCCAACTCACTACTTGTTGGTGTCAGCGCCTCAGCAATCCAGCGTCTACAGAGAGTACAGAATGCGGCGGCTAGGTTCCTGACAAACACCTGGAGACGCTGTCACATTTCACCCGTCCTTGCACGCTTGCACTGGCTGCCTGTTAAATACCGCATCCAATTGAAGGTTCTGAACTTTGTCTACAACATTCTGAATGGTCAAGCCCCGCCTTACCTTTCAGAACTGATAAAGCCTTATGCTCCAACCAGAAACCTGAGATCTGCAGACCATTTGCTTTTGTGCGTCCTGAAAATGAGGTATAAATCTCGTGGAGAGCGGGCTTTTGCGTTCACTGCTCCTAAACTCTGGAATGCTCTTCCCCTTAGTGTTCGACAGGCCCCAGAACTGGGTCGATTTAAGTCTGTACTGAATGCCTTCTTCTGTAATTAAGCTTTTATTCACTGATCTAGTTTTTAGTGTTTTTACGTTTGATTGTGGCTCTGTATTTTATTGTTGTACGTTTTACAATTTTTTAGATATTACCTCTTACCTCCTGTATGACTTTTATCTGTTTTTATCTTGGGGTTTGTCCTTTTTACTGTACAACACTTTGGTCAGCTGCCATGCTGTTTTTAAATGTGCTATATAAATAAACATGGTATGGTATGTATGGTATGGTATTTAGAAACATTTAAGTAATATTTAATCTAAACATATACAGTCATATTTATAATTAAATCCAAATATCTAAAACTAACGAACATCAAATTACAACCATGTCTAAATAAATACACCTAAATATTTAGGATCTCATGTTCATTTATTTGTCCAATGTAGTTCTTTCAACTCAAGTCTTAGTTTGCAATTATAAATCTAAATATTTAATCAAATATGAAGTCAGGAGTTAAAACTAAACATTGTGAATGGAAACTAAAGTAAATAGGGTTAAAGCTATTTTTTAATGACTGAACCTAAAAATTTAATAATTTGAATCAAATCTAAATATACAAATTGGAACCTAAATATTTAGAAATACATATTGATTGTCTCAAGTTAAAGATAAACTAAATTCAATTCAATTCAATTCAAAAATACTTTATTAATCCCAGAGGGAAATACAGGTGAATGTGGGAAAATGAGAATAAGGTGCAAAAGTCCATTTATTTCAGTAATCCAACTTGGACTGAGAGACCATTTAAAGGCTCAGGAGCCTTTTGCAGGTGTTTTGTATTCATTAGCTAATCAGAGTATTGAACCTTCCACAATATCTGGATTGTTTGAGATTTTGAATTTGGGGTTTCCATAAGCTGTAAGCCAAAATCATCACATTTATAACAAATAAAGGTTTGAAATATCTGGCTTTGCATGTAAAAAGTCTAAAAAATCATGGATTAGTTTCACCTTTTAGGTTGAATTACTGTAATAAGTGAACTTTTGCACCATATTCTAATATTTTGAGTTTCACATGTATTTGCTTCATATCAAAAGATCTGAAGCTAAATCTAAATATTTTAATCAGATATGAAGTCAGGAGTTCAAATTAAACACTAGGAATTATAGAGGATTAACAAATGATTTTGATAAATATCTAAGGTTAAATTTAATTTTCATCTAAAAGCGTGAATTAAAACCTAGATATTGAGGATTACACATTAGTTTGTAAATTTAGAAGTAACCTAAATATTACACTCAAACCAAACTACGGTTTGCAGCATTCACAGCGTGTGAATGTGTGTGTGAATGGATGCATGACTGATTGTGTTGTAAAGCACCTGGGGGGGTTCAAGGACTCTAGAAGGCGCTATATCAAATACAGGCCATTTACCATTTACGGGTGTTTCTTATTGTCAAGGCGCCTGGCCTAGCAAGACATCGCCTTGCGAGGCCAGGCGCCTTGCTTACGAGGACACTGTCCTTCCTTGGTCAAAGAAAACGGTTAAATGGAACAGACTTACTTCAAGTGACCACCGCGGAAGCCGCTAGCCACCAAAGCTACAACTACTTTTTTTTTTTTTTTTTTTTTTTTTTTTAACGTGTCCTGTCTGGCTGTGAAGCAAGCAGAATTGATGTC